TATCAAGCCTTTATTCAAGAGGTCATCAACTTGTTCATGCAGAATTTCATATTCAGTTGGACTCATTCTATAGTGTGGTAATTTTGGCAAAGGTGCACCCAGAATTAAGTCTACATGGTGTTGGATATCTCTCAATGGTGGAAGTTCACTAGGTAATTCTTTAGGATATAAGTCTTTAAAAGTGTGCAGTAAATTGGAAATAGCTTGTGGAATGTGAGTGTCTAAGAAATCCTCATTATGATGACCCTTGATGATAAGTGCAACTAGGTTTTTGTTATGCTCACTTAAAAACTCATTTGCAGGTATAAGGGAGAAGAGTTTAGAAGATGTACCTGTCGAACTTACCTCCTTTTGCTTATTGGGTAGTAGGGTGATTTTCTTACCAAACCAATTAAATTCGTAGGTGTTCTCCCTTCCTTTGTGAATTGTCGAGAGATCAAATTGCCAAGATCTACCGAGCAAGATGTGGCATGCATCCATGTCTATAACTTAGCAAATAATTTTATCTTTGTAATGTTTTCCAATGGACATTGGAATTGTGCAAATTTATACGATAGCCACTTCATTTCCTTTCTTAATCCATCCTATTTAATAAGGATTAGGATGAGGCTCGGTTTCCAATCCAAGATGCTGTGACTAAGGCTTTGGACACAGCATTTCGCAACTCCCACTATCAATTATCACATCACACACCTTATTATTCACAGTGCATCGAGTCTTAAATAGGGCATGTCGTTTAGTAGTATTCACTTCCATTCTTGGATTCAACAAAAGTCTTTGGAGGACACAAATTACCAGCTCACCATCATCTCCTTCTTCAAAGATTTCTTGTTTATTTCCAAAAAATTTCTCCTCTTTTTCACTGCTGTCTTCTTGTTATGAGTCTTCTTCCATCAATGCAAGCTTCTTTCTTTTGGGGTATTCATTGGAGAAATAGCCAGTTTGACCACATTTATAACATTTCTTTAAATTTGAAGGTCTTACATATGGATTCTCTTGCTTTGAGGCTAAATTCTTATTGATTGTGGGCTGTCCACTAGCTTTTTCGACCTCAATCTTTTGATAATTTGATCTACACTTAGATGGTGCTTTTGGTTTCTCATCTCCTCCTTCGTAGGGTTCATTCTTTTCTTCCCAATTCCGATTATCTTGTTTAAATTCTCCCTTTGCATTGTAGTCCCAAATCGACCGGATGATATTCTTCCTCCCCTACCCCAATTGGGAGTTCTTTGATTTTCGTTCCAGCTTGCTTGTCCATGGCCCCAATTTCTTTCTTTCTTGATTTTCTTTTCAATCTTGATGGTCATTGCTATTGCTTCACGAATTCCTCCTAGGGAAAATAAATCAATTCGATCTTGAATCTCTTCTTGAAAGTCATAGATGTACCAAGCAACTTGTTGATATTCGGATTCCAACAAATCATTCCTTGCATTTAATAGATACCACTCGCTGGTGTATTCTTCTAATGTCCGCTTATATTGTTTGCATTCTTGATATGATTGATACAAGATTTATTCATAATTGTCGGGTAGGAACCTTGCCCTTAACATCTTCTTCATTCTTTCTCATTCTTTCACTGCTTTCTTGCCCATTTTTCTTCTATTTGAGGTTAGTTGATCCCATCATGTTGCTACCCCTCCTTCAATTTGTATTTTACCAACTTTACTTGTCGTTTTTCCAGAATATCCATGCATTCAAAAAAATCCTCTACTTGTTTGATCCAATATAAGAAGTTTTTCATGTCTAGCCTCCCGTCAAAGTATGGTAAGTCAATTTTAAGCTTGTACCTCGAGTGCCTTTCTTTATATTTTCATCTTCTCCTCGTTCTTGCATAGTTGTCATCATCACTAGAGGAATCGAAAGTATCATATGTGGAGGTTGAATCTGATTCTTTGACCCTTTTCTTTTTTTTCTTGGACTTTTTGTGATTCTTGGACCTTTTCTTGGATCTTTCTTCACTAGAACTTGTTGGTTCTTGGCTGGATGAATGGTCAATATATTCCTCTTTTATGGTTTGAACCATTCTTCTTCTTCCTCTCTTATTTCTTTGCAAACAGATCAGTAAATTCTTCGATCTTGTTTTTACTGGGTTGTTGTTTTTCTTCAACTTTCTCCTTTCCTTTATCTAATTTTGCACTAAGCTTTGTATTCTCCCTCAATAATCATTTCAACCCTCTTTGTATCTATTCAACAGCTTCTTCAATCTTTGCCATTCGATTGGTTAAACCTTCCAAGGGAAGGATGCGGTGTTCAATATTGAGCACAGACGCATGAAGCTCGTCGGAATAGGTTTTTCCCTTACCCACTTCCGAATTCTTGGTGTTGTACCAAGCTCTGATACCAATTGAAGGGATGTGAATCCCAGAGCGAAAGCGGATCATCGTTCATGATTTTTTTGAGAAAACAAAAACAAACGTGCAAAGATGTGAAATACAGGGGAAAATGTTTTTACCTTTGAAGAACTCTTCTTCAAGTTAATTTCCACCCAAACACCACCACCGAATCTTTCGAACTATCTTCTTGGGTCTCGAGAACACGCTTGTGGGAGCGTTTCTTTGGAACGAGATGGAGAATTGGGAGAAAACTTTGATTGAGAGAGTAATCTTCCTTGAGAGTTTCTTTGGTTTTGTTGTGTACACATCAGAACTCTTCTGCAAACACAAAATCAACTTATGACGTGGGGAGTTACCCCACGTCATAAACTCCCCACTCCTCTACTAAAGTGTAGGGGAATTAAATATTAATTATTAATTAATCATATTAATTAATAAATAATTATTAATTATTAATCCAATTAACAATTAATTAACATATATATATAAATCAAATAAATAATTAACACTTAATTATTTATTACAAAATTAGAATCATATTCTAAAACATTTCTCTCATATAACCTATAGTTGTAATGTACATCTTATGCACATTATTTCTAACCTATAGTTTTAATATGAATCTTATTCATATTAATTTTATTTGAATCTCATTCAAATAATATCTCTCATAATATATAGTTCTATAATTTAGAATTAACTATATATTATAATGTATCAATATACATATAATCCTTTAAGTAATTTGAACATTTCAAATTTTTCTAAAAAACTTGATCCTCGTTTTACCCGTTATGAGCTAGCAAGGGGATCTAATGGACCTACAGATCAGAAGCTCCAACAATACGAGATTAACTGGTCAAACTCCAAACTCATTGACCGAGTTAATCAACATTCGTTAATTACGGGTCACTCCACTAAAGACCCGCAGCTGCACTCTTCTCACTGCAGAATATTTTCGTGTTCACGGATGACAACCATTAATGACAAGTCAATCCTTCACGAGTGTTCGTAACTCAAGCTGGGTCAAATTACCGTTTTACCCCTGAGTTACATCTTACTCCTTAAATACCACTGCTCCTCTAATGAATAACTCGGTTATTGTCCGACCAATAACTGGAAGTCCCTCTCGGGCCAGTGAGAGGGTGGGGCCCCTTGTTCAAGTCTCGGAGTCAGTAATTAACAGAACACTCATCTACTCCCCTAAAGTCGGAGAAAAGTGAATTTCATCTTGTGAAGTTATGTTCTCAGCTCCCCACTCAATCTCGTCCCCAAAATGGTAGGAATATTGAGTCGGCAACTCGGGCCACTCTCACCCATACAAATCAAAGGACGAGCCCTCACGGGCAGGAGTTTATAACTCACTCAGGATTGAGAATGAGTTGTCTGGTCATCCTATGAAATAGCAATCTGTTAGTCAACGGCGTTACATCTAAAGATTGGCTATTTCGCAGTCCGGTCTTATACAAACTCATTGTATAGGGTACCCCCACTCGCATGTCTCCACACGAACGACCTGCATCGAGTCGTCTGTAACATTTACAGAGTGGGCCGTATCCATAGTGTTGCTAGGATAAGGTACCCAGCCTTATCCATATACTATAGACCCTTTAGGTTATTCACAGGACATTATCCACTTGTATATCAGGGGTATATCAAATATATACCTCGTATATCAGGGGTATATCAATTATATACTCAATATATCAAATATATACCCGGTATATATACTGTCCCAGTTACATGATAATAACCTTGGATGTTTAGTTTATTGGATTTTGGACAATGTAATGCTATAAATTCAACAACAAATTTATTGAATAAAATTTTATTGAATATACATTTGTTTTTACATAAATACAAACTACGAGTTTAGGGCAACACACCCAACAAATTCTTGGTGGAGCAGAAAAAGCCTTAGGCTTGTTGTTTTATTAATGATCAAAAAAGTGTACAAATAGGGGAAACCTAGCCTTTATATATAGGTTTAGTTTATGGGCCAATGGACTTTAATTATAATAATGGTTAGTTAACCACACAGTAACTAACTAATAACCTAACTAACTATAAACAACAATAAAAAACAAAATACTTAATCTAAATTACAACGAGAGCCCACAATATGGTTGCACAAAGCACATAAGCTGCACATATTTTAACTAAATGATTGTTCAAACCAACTTCGATGCAGTTATAAGGATGCATGATATTTATGCACCAATTTGAAGGGTAGTACAAAAATATGTATATAAGTTGTTAGGTTGTTAACAGTGTATATAAGAGTTGTTAGGTTGTTATAAATCTTTTTTATTATTCTTTAATTTTAGCTACCACAGTTTAACCTAGGCTCATCAATGAATGATTAAAAGTTTCAAATTAAATTGAAACTTTATTATTAAATTAATATATTTTGCTAAATATTTAATCATCTCAAATTTAATCAACTAACCATTAAACCATCTTAGGAACCATATAGAACAATTTTACGATCTTCAAAATCCGAAAATGTTCATTTTAAAACTTTATGAACCAAATAGACACCTACTCCGAACCTTATTAACCAAAAGTGTATTTTACCCTTTATTTTTTACAACAAAATTAAATCTCAAAATATTACAATTATTTCAAAATATTTTGAATTCATAAAGATCAAAAAATAAAACGAAGTAAAACCAAGCCACAACTCCGTAACCATTCCAATATACATTACGTAACTTAACTGAACGAATTAGTGAGAGCAATTTCATAAAATCAGCATCATCTATCTCTACTACAATACTTCTTTCCAGCGATATCAGATTTACATTGTCATCTAAAATTCATCTTGTATTCCTTGTTCTAGGAACTTCAACTTCACATTATATTATGTACTTATTGCCTATCAGTCTATTCTTTTTTACCATATTTGCCATCAGTGTTCGAACCATTCGACGGAGCCAACGAGCAGTCGAGGCAACGGCGGAGGAGTTTTGCAAGCAGAGCATGTCACTGAGCTTGAAGAAATCCCTTCTCCTCCAAATAAGCCACTATCTGCTTTGCCATGGCGCATGGAGTCGGGCAAACTCCATCATTCTGTCTCAGTTCAATCTGGAAGAGCATGAAGAACATGCTTATAAACCTGGCCTGGACTTTGATATCGCTAAGCAAATGAAATTTTGAACAAGGATGATCAGCATGCATGATTTATGATAATGTACCTCGCAGTTCAGAGGAGGTTCGTAGGGGTCGTCGATCCCGGTAAAACCTGCAATACAATGCAGTGCTACTGTTCATTTTCCTTTCTATCAGCAAATGGTTTAGGGAGCAAGAAATGGATTCTTCAAGTATACCTCTGATTTTTCCTTCTCGGGCGAGTTTGTAAAGGCCCTTTGCATCCCTTGCCTCACATAATTCCAGAGGCATGTTCATGAAAACCTGAACAAACAAAGGGGAATTCCATGTTCAAGAATTTTTCTTTAGTTTCAGCCATTATTAAAACCCCTCTAAAATCTTGCCTCGATAAAGCACGCTTCGGGCAACAATGCACGACAGGAATCCCGATCTTTTCTATATGGAGATATCAAACTAGCAATACATATTAAACCAGAATCTGCAAAAAGTTTTGCTACTTCCCCTGTATTGGACACCAAAAAGAAGAAAGAAAGAATATCAAATATCTGAAATGTACACAAACAAATCCAGTGGAAACTAACTAGATAACAAGAAAATTTCAGGTTACCCGAAACTAGATAACATGAAAGTTGATTCCATCAGACACTGCAAGCTGCATTACAAGGAAGGTGATGGCCATTGAGGTGGGCTCTCGCTCTCCTATCCATTCTAACATTTCCTCATTTAACTCAAATAACTAGAATAATTTTGAAACATAAAAGATGGAAGAACTACAATACAACCGGTACTTGGCACCTCCCTTCTTGAATGGGAATATTCTTACTCAAGACTAAATCAACTAAACCAATCGCCTACCTCATCCGATCTCACTTCCTCTATTTATTAACCAATTCCTTCTCTAATAACCCATAATACCCTAATAATGTCCCTAACTATCATAATAGCATCCCTATCCACCCTCGTACAAACCACATAACTCAGGGAGACAGTTGAATCAATTCTGAGTAAATTTAGGAAGCAATGAAAACTATGATGGAAATGTATGCAGCAATTCAATTACATAATTATAAAAGCAAGACAGAGATTATATGGTGGATGTCATTTGCAGGTTCACCAAATATGAAGATCCTAATGAATATTCTATTTAGATTCAATCTCTCTTTCGAAATAAAACATACTTACCAACTCTGCGAATATTTTCAACACGATCTTCAGCTTTGAAACCAAGATCCTTGTTTAATCCATACCGAAGGTTGTCTCCATCTAGCACATACGAAACCTTCCCTCTTCCATGAAGTTCCCGACTCAATGAGCAGGCTACTGTGCTTTTTCCTGAAAATTTGAAATAAATTATATAGAAGACAAAAGTATTTGAAAGAACACATTGGAAAGGATGTCTATTTTTCCTCAAGTGAGAAATGTAGACACTTCTATTTCTTTCATCCACTTTTCTGTATTGCTTCTCCCCCAACCCTATTATTAAATTTTTTTATAAATATTAAAATGAGATACTCTATCTTTGAATTTGCAGTGTTTTCAAATGTAATCTTTTACAAGAAACGACTAATTTATGCAAAATGAGAAAGAGGTGAAAAACGAAAGAGCTAGACCTCTATGATTTGAACCTGAAAGGCATGAATACTAGAAGTAGGCGCCCATAAATAACAATATAAATCATGATCATCAATGTGTTCCTTTGCTGCTTTGCACAAAAACATACTTGTGCCTCTTTTGTTTTGTTTTATTTTTTTTTTTAGCAGGTCACCAGGGAAGTAAAGAATTGAACCTAAAAAGCTGGCTCGTTCATGTTAGCATATACAGAACTTGTTCCTTAATAGTCCATATAAGGAATGCCGAAAAGATGAAGTTCAACAGATGTAGTCCATATAAGTAATGCCTAAAAGATGAAGTTCAACAGATGTAGTCCATATAAGGAATGCCTAAAAGATGAAGTTCGACAGATGTGGAGGGTGGAGGGTCGAACCTTCGACCTCAAGAAATGTAATTAGTATCTTATCCACTAAACTATCCTTAGATTGGCCAAGAGTGTCTAAAAGATTAAGAGAGATAAAGATTAAGGCTCTGCAGTCCAATTTCCAACAACCAATTGTGATAGATCATTTTAAATTATTTGTGGCTACAGCTTGTCGGGCCTCTTTTTTGTTTTTTGGATAGAAAAAAACAACAGCCTCTTCAATAGTAAAGGCTAGATCTATAGATAGTCTTTTTGACCATATTGTTTTGGCTGGGTTCTAATGGCATAAATTTGATGCTCCCTTAAAATCTTAAAGCCTCTCTTTTCTTTGTGCCAATTGGAAGAGGTTTTAATAACTTCCTTGGCTAGGGTTTGGCTTTCCTCAACCTCTTTGGCTAAGGGTTTGGCTTTCCTCCTTTTTTTTCTTAATTTCATATC